TTACTGCTGCATTCGGGGTCGGCGCATCGCTTGTATTCGGCAAAACGGCGCTCGGGCTCCCGGCTGTGGCAAGCGAGCGGCTCGGCGCACAGGAAGAAGGCGAGGAGCCGGAGCGCGAGCGTTAGAGGCCGCCGGGCCGCAGCCATGTTTCGCGAGCGAGGCTGCTGGGTTGGCTTGGGAAAGCGGGCGGGCGAGCGGGGAGGAGGTTTGCAAAGCAAGACACGTCAGCAGAGCCGGGCTGGAGAAGGATATGGAAAAGAGGAGGAGGAGGAGGAGACTTCTCCGCTGTCCCACCGGAGCAGCGGGAGGCGGAGGGGATGGAGCAGCACCACACCCTGCCTGGGCGGCGCGGGTGTCCGCGGGGAGCCGCGGGGGGGGCGCCTCGGCTCCGGCTCGCTCGACCAGGCGTCGTGGGCCGAGTCTTGACTTCTTCGCACCCTTCGCGGCTGGCCCAAGGCACTTGGCTGCCTGAGGCAAAGCATAAGATGGCGCCCCCTTGTGTATCGAGTAAAAAAAAGCTGACCAGCCTGATAGCCGCCACAAGCATCCTCCTTCAGGTCACTTTGAAGGAAGCATCAGGAAAAGGGCGGGTGGCCGTGGAAACATTACAGATACAGGAACAGGTGGTACCTTTAATCGACCGTTTAGAATATAAAAGAAACAACGAGTTCGGTGATAAATTATCTTCTTCAAGATTGTGCATCACCTTCTTGTGTGCAGTTCGAAACTTCTATGCAGTTATTAATGTCCCAGAAATAAGTGATGTTATTGAGGCCGTGTTGGTTCCCTTCTTCAATAGAGAGAGCAGCTGCAGTATGCAAGTTATTTTCAGGCTTCTTCTCAACCAGCAGTTTGGATGGCCCATCACTTAAAACAGAAGGAAGCAGGCTGGCTTATGGCCAGCTACCTGACACACAATTTCTTTCTTCTCTATTATTATTATTGTTGAAAAACACCAGGCACAGTCAGAATTATAAAAACATTGATCAGTGTTATATAACAGATACAAGTTTTAACCATAAACCTAAGTATCTGTTAAATATTGACTGTTGTTCCTAATATTGCCGGGTTTTTGTAGCTCTGATGGTGTGATTTCTGAGATCTGCAACTGCTTATAGTACTGTGTGAAATTTCTTGATACTGTTCCCAAAGCCCCAGTGACTATGGGAACCACTGAAGTGTGTTTCTTCCAATTGCCAGGTCTCTTTGTTAGTTTTTCCAGTTCTTTAGTTTTAACTCTGACATCCTCTGGAATTGCAATGTCAATGATTCTGGCATCCCCTGGAATTGCAGTGTCATCATAATCATCATCACCATCATCATTATTACCCTGTTCCCCCTAAAATAAGACCTAACCTGAAAATAAGCCCTAGCATGATTTTTCAGGATGCTCATAATATAAGCCCTAATCCAAAAATAAGCCCCAGTTAAGTGAAACCCTGCCCTCCACCATTGTGCAGCAACCAGAAGATCACATGACTGCATTTGAATAAATGTAGATGGTTGGACATGACAAAAATAAAACATCCCCTGAAAATAAGCCCTAATACATTTTTGGAGCAAAAATTAATATAAGACCCTGTCTTATCTTTGGGGAAACAGGGTATTATTATTAATTTCAGCTTCTATGCTGCCCATTACAAGGCCATTCTGGGCGGCTTGCATATTAAACATATAAAATATATACAATTCCAAACAATGAACATAATAATATAAAATCAAAAGAAATACAAAAAAACCCAACATTTTCAATAATAATAATAATTAAAGTAATATAAAATAATATAAAGCAAGACAGCAGGACTGATAATATACAGTAAATGCTGAGACCACTCACTGTGATTAGATGTTGTGACTGAGGTATTATGAAGTGAAGGCCTGTCGGAAAAGCCATTTTTTTAGCAGTCACTTTAAAATTCCCAGTGAATGGGGCCAGGGGGATTTTGGGTGAGAGGTTGTTCCAGAGTTGAGAAGCGACTACCGAGAAGGCCCAGTTTCTGGTTCTCATTTTCCAGGCCTCTCTCGGGGTAGATACTCTCAACCGCCTGAGCTGAGAGGATCATATGGGGCGGGCAGATTTCATCAGGAGGAGGCATTCTGTCAGGTATGCTCTGATCAATTGTTTCATCTTTCTCCATTCAGACAAGAGCCTCACTTCACTTAAGGCACAGTGGAACCAGTCTCAGGGATCCATTTAGGGGTACTAGGAATGTAACCTCAAATTCAGAGGTATTCTGCCACACAATTAAAAAGGGTGAAGGACCAAAATGGCATCGATTTCAGGTTTTTGCACCCTTGCTGCAGAATAAGGCAATAGAATGTCTAGAATCATTTCAGAAGACAGCTGTAGGGTCACATACTAAAATTATTTTCCCCAGGGGGAAAAGAAATAGAAATTTAGAACAGCAGGGAGCTGGACAGGGTAGACTTTTACCACCACTAATGCTAAGGGTTTTAGTATGCTTTTCTTTTTCTTTTTTCTTTGCAAGATGTAAATTTGCACATTCAGAGATATCTGAGGCAGCACATCATGTCTACCACTACATTCTTTTGCTTCTGCTAAGCAGGCCTCATTTCCAAGAGGTCACATGGATGCATCTGCCTGGGCTGTTATAATTTATGTTGGCTCTTGTCCCCCAATAAGTATTACAACATTTTTTTAATGCTTAAAAGTGTTGCATGGTCTTGTTCAGCTCCCTCCGCCCACTTTTTTCCAAGCTGGTGTTAACCTGGTAGGCCCTGCATTGATGAACTTGTATTTAATGTGCTACTGCCATTGAACAAATTTGAACAAAACTCGTTTACCACTGTAGTTTTGGCTGAATTATGCACAACCTCCTATGCCATTTGTAAATAATGATTAAGGCTTTTGCAATCATTGCAGGTTTTCTGTCCTTTTTCTGTTTTGTTTATTAAATTATATCAGGACTGTGCAGGCTTCTGATGTTGCTAAATTACAGCTCTCATCATCACCATTGCCTGGCCAGAGCTGATGGGAATTCAAACCCTACAACATCTGAAGGGGCACAGATTGTCCACCCAAGTTATAGTTTTGTTCTCACACATCATCTTTCACTATTGATGACTGGCTGAATGCAAAGCAAGTTGCAAATGCAAACTTGTCAGAGTGAATTCTGTACAGGAAGATGTATCTTCCTTCAGGATCTTGACAAAACAAAGCCAAGGTTTACTGGATCTTGTCTCCTACCATGGAAAGCAAAGTAGTAGAACAATCTAATGATCGAGATGCAAATGTTTTCATCTTTGCACATTTGGCAGAAGAGCCCTTAAATCATTAAAATGTATCAAGCACACAGGATTCCTTGTACCAAATGCACAACAAATTATAATAGTAATGAACTAGCTTGCTTCATGGCATGACTGTGTAAGCAACAGTCTGCTGTGCTCTTCCAGTTACTGCTACTTTCTTATTTGCAATCAATAACAGTAATTTCCACTACTAATTGCAACAAAAGTAAGGCTGATGTTCTAGACTCTAAATTATTGATCCCCCCCCCCCTTTCTGGTCATATGCTATTCTCTTAGGTAGTGTCTGAGTGTGAAAGCTTTTTTCAAAAAGACTATTGCCATGTAGGGAGGAACCAAACTGAAAACGGAAAAATTAACCTTCTCCTCACCGTGCCAGGCAAGACCCTCCCCCCCGCCCCCAAATTGTCTCCACGGTGAAAAGAAAAAAAACAGAGAGGAAAGGGGAGAAATAGAGAAAGATAGAAAAGGAAGGAGCAGAGGGAAAGGATGGGTAGGAATTGAATTAATAGATATGTGGATTGTTAAAGTATGAACAGGGTGACTTTGGCTGCAGCCCAGATGGTCAATAGGAAACCCCTGACAGCGTCAGTACTAGGATATGCAGTCTATGAGGATGAGGAGCTTCCCCAACCATGCTCTAAACTGTTGCAGTTATTTACCATGAAGTCCTATGAATTTGTGGTCTCTAAAACTTCCTGTCATTATCAGCCCTGCTCTGCTCTTGCAAACTCAAGACCATGGCTTTCTGTATTAAGTTGGTTCATCTCATATTTGGTCTTCATCTTTTCCTCCTGCTTTCAACATTTTCCAGCATTCTTTTTTTCCAGGTTGTCTTGTCTTCTCATGATATGCCCAAAGTAAAATAGCCCGAGTTTAGTTATTTTTACTTCTACAGAGAGTTCAGCTTTACTTGATTTTGTAGCCACTTACTATTTCTCCAAATCCATAGTATTTGTAAAGCTCTCTTCTAACACCCTCTTTTGAATGAATAATTTTTCCTCCTCTCTGGAATAACACAGTTTGAATGATCTTATTCTTAGTCTCCAGTGACACATCCTTACACATGTATCAGGCAAAAGACAAAACAAAAATAATGAAGACAAAAACATTGTGGCACCTTAAAGACTAACTGTTATATTTTAATATGAGCTTTCATGAACAAGTCCACTTTCCTTACACTTGATATGATAATCTAATTCCTTCATTAATGCCATTCGGAGATTCAGTCTTCTGCTGAGTTCTTAATGCAATCTCCCTTTTAACTGACAATTGAACCAAGGTGCAGAAAAAGTTAAACAATTTCAATTTATTCGTTGTCAACATTAGAGTTACGTAATTCTTCTATAATCATGATTTTTGTCTTCTTAATTTTCAACTGCAAACTGGCTTTTGCACTTTCTTCTTTCACTTTCATCAATTATTGTTTCAAGTCATTGCTGCTTTCTGCCAGTAATATAGTGTCACACTTCTCCTAAATTAGTGATGTTCCTTCAGTTTTCACTCCTTCTTCATCTGAATCTTATCCAGCTGCCCATATGTGAGTCAAAATCCTATTGCTGTTCATGTAAGGCTTGTACAGTATATCTTGCTGGGGCTAAGTGCAGCTAATTGATGAGGTGCCAGGACATGTCTCAGTGACATGCTTGGTCACGACTGATTGTGCAGCCAACATGTGCCCTTGAACTTCTGTCAATTAGCCACAATTAGCACTGGTAAGTTATGCAAACATTATACAAACACGAATAAGATTTCATGCAATATGTTATGCATATATGTCAAACAGTTACTGTGATAAAGTACACTCTTCTCTGACACCTTTGTAAACTCTTCCATTTCTCCATATTCTGTCCTAACAATAAATTGCTGTCCGGAAGTCATACATGAGGACAATAAAATGTGATACACCCATTTCTTTTAGAAGTCTGTCAATTAGCCACAATTAGCACTGTCAATTAGCCACAATTAGCAAACATTATACAAACACCAATAGGATTTCATGGAATATGTTATGCATATATGTCGAACAGTTACTGTGATAACGTACACTCTTATCTGACACCTTTGTAAACCCTTCTATTTGTCCATACAGTATTCTGTCCTAACAGTAACTTGCTCTCCAGAGTATAGGTCATAAATGAGGACAATAAAATGTGATACACCCATTTCTTTTAGAACTCTCTTGGATGTACACCTACTGAAGGGATAAGTATGTCAGGGAAGCTGAGAACAATGTTGTCAGAAGAGTAGTCTCTGTAATGTGTGAACTACTAGCAGTGTCACCCAAGAGGGGGTGGTTAAAGCTGAGACACCAGATTAAGATGCCTCCCTGCTCTTTGGAATTAATAGTCACTAGAGTAGTTGGGCTATTAAGATTGAAAGGCTCCTGTTGCTTCCCTCCTTTGTGCTGCCACCTTTGGCCCTCTGGTGAATGTAGTAGATCTGAACAGTGGGGAAGGCAGTCTGAGGGTACTGGTTGCTCTGGACCATACCTAGGTCTGCTCTGCCGTCATTTGGAGCAAAGCTCTTAAGCTAGTGGCATACACTTTATGGAATGAATACTTTCCTGTCTGAAACAGGAAATCTCTCATAATTCTAATTTTTTGGGTGTAGACCAAAGGCATTTTGCAAGAACTCCTGGTGTAGATCAGTGTACTATGTAGTTTTAATCTTACATGTAGAATACACTTGTTATGTAACCTGAAAGCCAAATGTGATCATTTTAATACAAAATAGTCAACTAACTAGTTGGAATTATATACGCAACTAACAGATACAAAAGTTTTTAATATAATGATATGTTACAGATAATATGTGATAATGTATGGCACAATATATTCCCTGTTATCCTGATGTATTTCCCCTTACTCTTGAAATAAATAAATACATAAAAAAGAAAACACTTGCCATTAAAACAGATGTTCTTGTTTAGTATGTAACTGAATGTGTGCATAGGTTGGATAGTGAAATCCGAGAATTGGGGGGAAATATCACAATTTTGTCTATATACGATGGAGCTCAAGTAGATGCTTTTTACACACATGCAAATACTGTACTGATTTTTATTCTGCTCTACATGTTTTTGTTGTTTAAAATATTTATTTACTATCCTTCCACACAATAGTGTGAGCAAGAATCCCGTAGAAGGAATGGATATGATTCGACCATAGTCCTTACAAGAGGCTGAAAAACATACATTTTTTAATAACACTTAAGTACTTGAACCAAATTACTATCGGAAATGTAGTCCAAAAACGTAACTGCCCTCAATTCAGACCCATATTAATGTTAAAAGAGGAAGAAATTAGAAGCATTGCTTTTTGGTCTCTGCCCAAGGATACTATAATTCTAGTCCAAAAGAGGAAATTTTCAGTTATCTGAAAATAGATACCCTTTGAGTTGTGTTCCTGCATTGGTCTTGAGGTTATGCTTCCACACACGGACAGAGGTACTCTTCTACACTTGCTCTTAATCTATGCGTCGCAATTAAGAAGTGCACGTAAATTACCTCAAAGGCTCCGCCCCCGAAGGCGGGCCGGTATCATGTGACAGAAGGAGGCACCAACCGGCGCTCACTTCTGCCCTGGGCAAAGATGGAGGTAAGTGCGCCGGAGCTTCGGAAGCCAAAGAAAATAGCTTTTTAGACCTTCGTGGGGGTGCGTTGGTTTTCTTACGACGAGCGGTCACGGAAAGAGAGAAGGACCTTCGGGTAGGCTAGTCAGTCCGCCGGTGGGCGAGAGTGACTCAGAGCCGATAAGAGGAACGGATTTCCCTGAGCAGCAATGTTGTCTTTGGGCATTCATAGATGTAGGAAAATGTAGAGCGATAATCCTCTTCGGTTAAGCCTACCTTCGTCTGTTGCAGGCACGGTGCACCGGCACCTAAAAGGAGACAAACCAGTCCGGCAGGGCCCTGTTGAATGGTCAAGGGACACTTAAGTGGATCCCACTGATTTACTTAGAACAGAATCAGCTGCTAAAGGGCAAGGAGAGGCTTAAACAAATCCCACTGAGTTACTGCTGTAGTTTGAACTACCATGTGGATGCTGCACGTTTTGGTATAAGTTGTTGTAAATTAAGAGCCATTGGAGTTTGCTGGTCGGTTGAATGTTATATATTTTCTTTTGGAGGCTCATGGCATGAGAGAGCTGCCACTATTAATGTGGGGGAAGGTGAGGATTTTAGGAGAGGTACAACTACAGTTCCCCTTCATGGATTGCTGCCTTGTCGTGGTGAAGGGGCTTGAGTAATTCAGCTATGCCGTGCAGGGACACCCTAAGACGGGCAGGTCACAGTGGAGAGCTTTGACCAACCACGATCCACCTGGAGTAGGAATTGGTAAGCCACGCCAGTATATTTGCCAATAAAACTCCATGGACAGAAACAAAAGGCTAAAAGATATGACGCTGGAAGATGAGCCCCTCAGGTCGGAAGGTGTCCAACATGCTACTGAGGAAGAGCAGAGGACAAGTAAAAGTAGCTCCAGAGCTAATGAAGTGGTTGGGCCAAAGCCAAAAGGACGTTCAGCTGCGGACGTACCGAAATCAGGTTGTTCTCTGCAGCCAAAGATGGAGAAGCTCTATACAGTCAGCAAAAAGAAGAGCTGGAGCTGATTGTGGCTCTGATCATCAGTTTCTCATAGCAAAACCCAAGCTTAAACTGAAGAAAGGAGGAAAAACGACTTGGCTAGTCAGGAATAATCTAAACCAAATCCCTTATGAATACACAGTGGAAGTGAAGAACAGATTTAAGGAACTAGATTTGGTGGACAGAGTGCCTTAAGAACTATGGATGGAGGCTGGTAACATTGTACAGGAAACAGCAATAAAACCATCCCAAAGAAATGGAAATGCAAGAAAGCAAAGTGGCTGTCCAACTAGGCCTTAGAAATAGCAGAGAAGAGAAGGGAAACAAAATGAAAGGGAGATAGAGAAAGTTACAGAAAATTGAATGCAGATTTCCAGAGAATATCAAGGAGAGACAAGAGAGCCTTCTTAAATGAACAGTGCAAAGAAATAGAGACAATAATAGAAAGGGAAAGACCAGAGATCTGTTCAAGAAAATTTGAGATATTAAAGGAGCATTTTGTGCAAAGATGGACATAATAAAGGACAAAGATGGTAGGGACCTCACAGAAGCAGAAGACATCAAGAAGAGGTGGCAAGAATACACAGAGGAATTATACCAGAAAGATCTGGATGTCCCAGACATTCCAGAAAGTGTGGTTGCTGACCTTGAGCCAGACATCCTGGAGAGTGAAGTTAAATGGGCGTTAGAAAGTGTGGCTAGCAACAAGGCTAGTGGAGGTGATGGCATTCCAGTTGAACTATTTAAAAGATGAGGCTGTTAAGGTGCTACATTCAATATGCCAGCAAGTTTGGAAAACTCAGCATTGGCCAAAGGATTGGAAAAGATCAGTATACATCCCAATCCTAAAGAAGGGCCATGAATGCTCAGATGTCAAGGTTTCCCATCTGTTGAGATCCATTCCTAAGGCCTTCAGATCCGGCTTGCAGATATCCTTATATCGCACCTGTGGTCTCCCTCTAGGGCGATTTCCCTACACAAATTCTCCGTACAGGAGATCTTTTGGAATCTGACCATCAGCCATTGTCACGACATGCCCCAGCCAATGTAGACATTGCTGTTTCAGTAGTGTATACATGTTAAAAATTCCAGCTCGTTCTAGGATTACTCTATTCAGAACTTTGTCCTGCCAGGTGATACCAAAAATGTGTCAGAGACAATGCATATGGAATGTTCCATATGCGTTCCATATGCATCCACAAAATATCACATTAAAATATAGCAGTTCTTTATGTCTTGAAGGTGTGGCAATGTTTTGTCTCTTTCTTTTTGTTTTGTTTGTTTGATATTCTGACACAGATGCTATTTTGTATGCCTTTTTTCCCTTTAGAAAGCTTTTTTAAAAAGTGATACAAACTCCCCTGGCCAGTGGCAGTTTAGCTTATTGCCCCAATAACGCTGCAAAAGTTGCTAATTTTACAGGTTTAACTGAGCAGTTTTTAGGCTGTTGCAGGCTAGGCTGAGAGGTGGTGCCTCACCTAAACTTCCAGAATGAAATTCATATCTCAGCATGGATTTCATTCTTTATTTTTGATATCATGTTGATGTCTAGTATCTCTGTGCTGCTGTTATTGGTATTTCAGACCAGAAGTGGCTGGGAAAGCTAGTTCCCTAAGGGTATCTGGTAGTTTCATGGAAAGCTAATAGGAAAGGCACAGGTAGCCATGCTGGTCTAGTAGAAGAGCGATTGTTGGTGACCAACATGAAGTGGACACTGACCAGGATATTCTTCTTGGAGGGTTTCCTGTATGATCGGCCACGGACAGCAATTTGGCTGAGGCTTCCCTTGTCTCTTGCTCTTTTTTTGGTTCTGCTTTGGAAAGGGAAAGTTACTTTATTTTGGATGCCATGTCCTTCCTTAACCCTTACATGTTTGTGGGGCAGCAGGGAGGTTGGTATATGTCTCGGTGGGTCTTGCAGGGCACTGTGTGGTTAGCTGAAGGCAGCTTCTCGCGAGAAAAGTAGGATTCGTAGCAAATGCAACAATGGAGTTGGCCTATGTTGTAAACAAGTTTTGAAGGTGAGGTTTGCTTCCCTGCTCTGCCACATGTACATAACTATGGCTGAAATCCGCTTGATGTAAATTTAGGCCAGATTACATCATCATATGCCCATAGATTAATTTAGTTTAATTAAAATTTCCCATTCCTCCCTTCACATCTTTGGGAAGCTCGCTGCTGCTGAGCCTTGAAGGCAGGAGGTATAAGAAGTTTTTAATGGAATTAAATGACAGATATCCATCACACAGTCTCATTTTACAAAAACAGGATTTCAACCTATGTGTATTTCCCTTTCTTATCCAAGCCATTATACTTCCACTCTTTATGTGTAATGTGCCATTATTGAAAAGCAAACATTATTTAACCTTGGAGCTTTGTATTCCTATCCCGGATAGTACGAATACAAAACTCCCAATTCTAATCATCTTTGTTCACTGTATGTAATAAGATATGTTGCCCTTTTTTCCTCTAGATTAAAAAAATGTTCTGTATTCTTAAGGCCTCTGTGTTGATGTCTGTTGCAGAAATGGATAGCTCTGCTGAAGAGCTGGATGACGAGGGAGGGCATTTGTCCCCAGAAGAAGACAGAGAGGGTGCCTCTGCTGGGGGCACCTCAATCCCAGGAATGTATTTACCTTTGCTTCCAGAGTATTTCCACCATCCAAGTAAGTTCCTAATTGGTGTTGGCAATTGTCTAGTAGTATAACTGTTGCTCAGTTTGACACATTATTACTGATAAAGATGAAAGCAAAGCAGTCGGAGTGTGCTTTCTCTCCTGTAGGTGGCAGTGTGACCTTTTATATTGTGTCTCTTAGCATTACATGTTTGGGTTTCTACAGAATTGGGTGCTCTTCCTGGTTTCATCGTGTAGGTGTGCCACATCAGCAAACAGCTCAGGATGGCATCTCTGAATCCCTCTGACATTAAAGACAAAACTCCTCTGACAGAGGAAAAACGAACACATCAGGGAGATGGGATCTAGCCTAGCTTTTTCCCTGTCAAGATCATCTTTTCCTTACAAAAAAAATTCAATCCTGCAGTCCTTCCATACATGGTCAGGTTCAATGCATTTTAGGTTGGGTGTGCCACATGTTGTTTCTGAACATATGGATGATACCATGTTTTCCTGAAAACGAGACAGGGTCTTATATTAATTTTTGCTCTAAAAATGCATTAGGGCTTATTTTCAGGGAATGTTTTATTTTACAGTCATGTCATCTTCTGGTTGCTGCACAAGGGTAGAGGGCAGGGTTTCACTTAACTGGGGCTAGTTTTTGGGGTATATATATATATTATGAGCATCCTGAAAAGTCATACTAGGGCTTATTTTCAGGATAGGTCTTATTTTCGGGGAAAGGGTAGAAGGCATCATTTCTGTAATCTTGCAGCACCAACATCCAGGGCTCCGTAGTGCACAGCACAGTTCTACTGAGCAAACAGAGCTTTGGCTCTTGCAATGCTTATCCTACTCCTCTACTTGTTCTCTTGCCCATTGTCTCCCTTTTCTGCTGTGGAACAAAATATGGGTCCTGCTGGGAAGGAAGAATGAAGGATAGAAGTTGTGGCATATTAAGGGGCATTTAATAGAAGGGGCTTATGGTGCACATGCACCATGTTTATTATGTAAATACTATACAATGTGTAGAAATAAATTTGATTTAAAGCTATAGCCATATTGTTCGGGCTGTGGCTGGAAAGTAGAGTTCCCCCACACTTGCTCAAATGGACTGAAATCAAGCAGGCAGAGCATTCATTAAGTCAAAGTGGTCTTTTTTTTGCAGTGTGTTAAGATCAGGCAGAATATATACAGCACAAATGAATAAGATATATTTCATGTCAGCATTTATATTCTTCTTCACATCTGTCTACAAGTCTGGCACTGAAAGAGTTCATGCTAAGTTGTGAGAACCTGATGTCCTTTCACAAGCAGTGTAACTATAGTTGTGGGTTTTTCAGGCTCTTTGGCCGTGTTCTGAAGGTTGTCCTTCTTAACGTTTCGCCAGTCTCTGTGGCTGGCATGTTCAGAGGATGAAGATGCCAGCCACTCCTTCACTCCTGTCCTCTGAAGATGCCAGCTACAGAGACTGGCAAAACGTCAGGAAGGACAACCTTCAGAACACGGCCAAAGAGCCTGAAAAACCCACAACAACCATCAGATCCTGGCCATGAAAGCCTTTGAGAATACACTGTAACTATAGGTTTGTTGGTCATGTTTGGGCACTGATCAAAAAATAAAAAGAAAAAAGTCTTGGTGTTACTTTTTACTTTTCAATTTTCTGTATACATGTAGAAAAAATTGTCTGATGATAGAATTTTGAGAAGTTGCAAAGGCTGTCAAACTATTTTGCAGTATGTTATCAGTTTTATTAAGAGCCAATACAGTACACCTTTGTTTACTTTCTTGCCAGTCCAATTTCAGATATCAAGATATACTTTGTGTGTGTGTGTGTGTGTGTGTGTGTGTGTGTGTGTGTGTGTGTAAACTGTAGTCTTTGTCCACAGTTGCACCTGAAAAACACTGCTCAGCATCAATAGTCAAAGTTATTTTTCTGTTTTAGTTAGAACTGGATCAAATTTATCAGAATTTCAGAAGGTGAAAGATGCTTGCTTACGCAGCATACAAGATGCCCTCCTGCAGTCTCAGTGGCAGAGGGCTGCTGAGTTAATGATCAGCTATCTAGAGGTGCTGGAAAACACCACCAAGGATAGACTGCGAGCTGCTCCTGAGGTGAGTAAACAGGCAAACACTCTGATTCTAAACAAATCGCATGAAGAGATGTTGCACTGGTTTCGGTACCCTGTATTTTCAAGTAATGCAGGATGTGGCATGTATGGCACTCCAGCAGTGATTGGACTGTCACTGCCACGATCCCTTACTATTAGCAATGCTTGTCAGGGCTGGAGGGTCACCTTGGTATAATATGTTTATGTGCATGTATTCTGGAGCGTAACAGAGCCAGTTAGATGTTCCACATGCCACTTTCTTTGTGGCAGGTGTTCATATTAGCTGTCATGCTTTACTTTGGCTTCATTGCTCCGGATGTGTGTGTATTTTTTCTGTGATAGGAGGTCTGGAGAATAGGAACTGAAATTTTGCAGCAGCATCCACGGACTAATATAGATGAGATCAATTACTTTGCGGATCGGATGAAAAATATGGGAGTAAAAACTTATTTAAAGGTGAGAATAACTATAATGTTGGGCAAACCAAGGTTGTTCAGTATAGAAGTTTTATTTTGAGACTTTTGGGGTGGACATGTTCCTTTGCTGTTGATAACTTTGGCCCCAAATGGCAGCGCTAAGAGGGGGGCTATTGGTCCTCATAAGAATTTGTACCATTGCGTCATCTTCAAAGTTGCTGCAGCTGATACATCTCATAAACCAGACTTAAAATTATTCTAGTTTTCTTTAGAGCATGCCTTCCATCTCTTGGGCAATGGGTTTCTGGATGAGGCCTATCAGAACTTGGTCCTAGCAGAAAGCTGGCGGTATGGAGAACTATCAATTGCTCAGGAAAAAGACCTGAAACTCATTCAAGGTTATAGGGGACTCCTGGATTATTATAAGTGGCTAAAAAAGAAGACAGACATACTGGAGATTGGTGAGTTTGTGTCTTTGGAAATGCTGGTGTGAGTGTCTCTGGCTTTTGTATTCAGTTCTTGAAATTTGAAACCCAGGAGAGAAACTTTTGCTGCAGGCTAAATAATGATTTATAAGGGAATAAATTGTACTGATATTCATGGGATTTACTCTGGCTAAACATAAAAAAGATTGCGATGTTGGTCTACTTCCCTCTTCTGCATATGAGAAGTTTAGAGTTCTTGCTCATCATCATTACCTATGAACTGCATCTTATACGAGGAACTTTGGACCTCAAACCTAGTAACTCTCTCTGTAAGGAAGACTAATAATTGGCATTTAAACCAGATTTGCTGGGAGACTTGATCAGTTTCATTCATATGGCATAAATAACGCACAACCATGATTTGTTGTTTATTAACCTCCCCCCATGATATCATGGTTTATTTTCCTTAGCAAAATCTGATCATATGGAGAAGATTTTAGGGACAAACCAGCAAGACCTTTTTGTTACCTTGGAAGAGCACAGGCTGGAGCAAAGCAAAGTTGTTCAGTATAAAAGTATCACTGAAGTGGAGTCTGAATAAAACATAGCTCGCAAACCCACTTCAAATTATAGTTTTTCAGCCTGATGTTTGCTGGCCCTTATTCATTGTTCATGGAGTTCACGGTGATGCTTACTGGTGATGCAATTGCTTAAGAATTGTGATAGCAGAGGAAAAGTGTGGGAAAGCAAAGATGTGCCCACATTAAACCAGATTACTGTTGTATATTTAGCTGATAAATGTCATGATTAGCTTTGTTTTAAATAACAGTACTGAACATAAGACACGTCTGTCTTGTCTTTATAAGGTGAAGATAGCTATGCTGGGTCTTCTATTCAACAGGAGATGCACAGCTTGTATCAGCAGGCTAAAGTCAGCCTCAAGGAGATAATTAAAATGCCTGGCGTTTGGGATCCTTTTGTGATATGTTACGTGGATGTAAGTAACAACTTCATATGATTACCTAACCACACTTTTGATGATTGAGCTGAGTACTGCTAGTGATTCAAGACTTTGCAGTTTGATGAATACTTAAGGTCCTATAGCAGTTAATGAAACAGGGCTGTGAAAAAATACTTAGTAAGGATTTAGCAGTTCTGGAGATGCAGAACGAGCCGCCCCAGAGAATATGAATGTTTTCTATATATTCAGGCATCCCTGAGCAATGAAAGCATCCTGTGGCCTGATCCTTCCACTCTCAAAGCACCATTGGTTGCTTCCAACATGAAGGAATAAATATTCATTTTGGAAATTCTTTGTCATATAACACACTGGTTACTTGTTTTGATATTTCTAAAATCTTTCTGAGATTATTACATTTGGAAATTTGAGAACTTGTCCCAGACAACAGCTCCAAATGGCTACCATGGGCACGGCTCACCTACTCCAAAATATCCCCCATTCTACCTTGCTTCCCTACCATTCTCTTCTGCCCTCATGTAGATTGAACTAAATACTAGAGAAAACACAGGCCGTAATTTGTCAGTTCAGATATAATGGCAGACTAGTTTGCCAAAGAGACTTATGCCACTATATCTAGGCATTTCTTCCCTACTGTTTAGTGTAAGTCAAATCACAACTTTCAGTCTGTTCTCATCTGGTAAACAAAGTACCCCTGCTATGATTCTTGAGGCATGTGTTTACTGCTGAGAATCACAGCAGGGATGTTTTCTTTACCATGGAAAAACGGACCCAAAGTTGTGATTTGGCTTATACTAAACAACAGGATTTTGGCAGTTGTCTCAGTATGTTTATCAGTGGCCAAAATCCTGTTGCCTTGTGTAGTATATTTTAGTTAGAGTAGTCTCCTTTGAATCACTGGAACCTAAGGAGGAGCTGACTTTCCAAATCCCCGTAGATTCAATAGGCCTACTCTGCAAAGCAACAGGAGTCTGGCTACTGAATTAACTATTTTTGAGTGAAACTTTTCTTCTCTAGTTTTTATTTGGTTGCAAAACACTCCTGAGCACCTGCAGCTGAAAATGTGTTCTATAACTTAAAATAATCAACTATACATTGTTTTCTCTCTCTCAGCTGCTAGAACACTATGAGGAGTATGAAGAAATAAAAGAAGTGTTAAATGATTATGCATACGATTCCAGATTTCCTTCCAATCCTAATGCTCATGTCTACTTGTATCAGTTCTTAAAGAGAAGAGGTGAATCAAGGAAAACACAGATGTCTGCGCTGAAGGTACTAGATCAAGGTCTTATTTCATGCCAGTGCTTCTGATTACTTTATGAGTAATGGAAAAAGAAACACCAGTTAATTTGATAAGACCTTTATTCCACTGAAGTTGATCATAGAACCTACTTAACTTGCCCATTGAAATAAACAGGTTTTATAACTGTTTCAGCTTAAATTCCATTCCCTTGTACCAAGCACTAATTTAAGAACATGTTGAATGATTTCTTAAGTTTGGCCTCCTTGTTTATAGTAAAGACTGAAAACGGCATGAAAACATTGATTCTCTCACATGATTTTTTTATATTTTAAAAAATTTCCTTATATAAAAACTGGTTACACAACTAGTCATTTGGTAAATGTCTCATCAGATCATAAAGGCACTTCCACGGTTGTTGGCTATGCATGCAGAAATCCTGAACAGGATACTGGTCATTGTGTTAAAGTGATTCACAGAAAATCAGCAGTTAATGTACAGTAATGGCATAATTGCTGTAGCATGTGTTTGGGAAAAATAGCTATAATACTAGCATTCCTTGCTCTTTTCATGCGCCATGGGAATACCATTAGCTGATATCCTATTACTTAGCACAGTAAGTCACACTGCAGTAGGCCGAATGAATGAGTGAGGATTTGGTGGGTCAAGTTCTCTACAAGCTCCATTGACTCAAAGCAGTTTGCTCTAGTTATGAATTTCTTTACTGCAGTAAATAGCAACTAAAATAGACCCATTTGAATCAGTGGAACTTACAGAAGTGTTGACTCACCAAATTCCCACTGATTTAATGGGTCTAATCTAAAATGATCTCCTGCACTAAGCAACAGAATTCTAGACATTGATTTGTTGCTGAAACAATTGAAGAAAGGTGTATGAATAAGAATCTGTCTTATGTCTCTTGGAAGAACAGATTTTATATTATCCTTGCAGGAATATGATTTATTTTCTGGCTATGTTCACGTAGGCTGCAAAGCAAACCTGGCAACTCAATCTAGTCCTCTGCTATAACTAAAACTAGCGTAGGATTCTGCTAATAATCCTTCCATTGAAATCAGTGGGATGTAAAAATACACAACTTTGCCCCCAAATGTTTATCCTAGTCTATTAATATCTATCTGTTGTTTTCCTAGGTTTTACATGAGCTCGTCCCATCTCATGAGCTGATGTTGGAATTTTACATCATGCTTAAAAAGTCAAGTAAGACTTGTTAATTACTATGTTGCTTTCTCTTATTTAAGCTACTACCATTAGGCTGGTTCCTTCTCCTTCCATCTTGTCTTTATGTGTAGGAGACAAATATTAGGCATAATTGCAAATCCTGATGTAAATAAAAGCATGTGGCATCAGTGGAAGAGCACTTTTTTACCAGGTTAGGTGTTTGCCAACTGTAATCCTATCTAGAGAAAAGTAAACCTAGCTTCAGTTACACACATCATGATTATTTATTTATTTATTTATTT